GTTTGACCACTACTCTCAGATGACCATCATCAATTAACCACCTCCATCAGGCCTCAACCAATCAACCATTACAATCCAACCACCACTGTTGAACTATTGTCATTTAATAATCATCGCATAACTATGATACTCCGACCATTGGTGATTGACTATAATCTCTCAATCGCTATCATCTAATTATTGTCCTCTAACCATCAACACAAGATAATGGTCTCACAATCACTAATGCCCAACCACATTCTCTTGACTACCATCACCTTATCATAGTCTCCCAACAGCTATTGATTGATCACGATCTTTCAACCATCATCACTTGATTATGATCTTTTGACCATCATTAATTGATAAAAATCTTCGATCACCTCACTCAATTATAAACTTTCAATCATTATTACCCAACTATGATTCATTGACCACTGTCATCCAATAACAATCTCATGATCATCATCACTCAACTATGATACATTGACCACTATCACTTGGCTATGACCTCCACACGCCATCGCTTATCTATGATCCCCTGACCATTATCATTGAACTAAAGTCTCCGATAATTGTCACTTAGCTACGATCTTCTAACCATTATTGCTAGACTATAGTCTCTCAATCATGGTCACCTGATTATGATTTCTCAACCTAACTACAATATCCAAACCATAATCACTCAACTACGATCTCTTAAATATATATGGTCGACTATAGTTCCTTAATCTTCATTGCCTAATTGCGGCCCTCCAACCACTATCATTCAACTATGGTCTTCCAACCACTATTGCTCATCTACAATACTCTGTCTAATGTTGCTTGAGTAAAGCTCCCAACCACCATAGTCTGACTATAATCTTCCAAACACCATTACTCAACTACCATTTCCCAACCACCAGTGTAATAGCCTAAATATTTAATTATCGATGTATTATCCGCTTTTGCCTAATGGCCTAACAAATTTGTCTTGAATTGCTCTTGCATGACAATGCTTAATTATGGAGTTTCTAAATGAAATTCTAACAATTATATAAAAAAATTGTCTTGATGTTTAAGAGTTTATTTATTTATTTACTTAAAGGGTTCCTCAATCTCCCCCATTTTAGCAACTTATGTCTTCGTCGATATCATTGTCCCAAAACCATTCATAATGAAGATAAGATTCTTGAGGTGACTCTTACAAAGTCAAGTGTTGGGTCCTTCCATGTAGTACTTTATCCCATATAAGACTCAAGAGGTGACCACCGTGGCGTAACACTTTGTCATGTATGAAATTTAGGTCTCATCTTCCGGCCGGTATATTGTCTGATATCATTATATAGCAGTCCAAACTATTAATTATCGGGGTGTTGTCCGCTTTGGTCTAATGGCCTCACCATTTTGTTCCGTTGGTGTAAATTCCTAAGAGGTCATCCATCGCTGGAAATTACTTCCACACGAGCACGTTTAACTTTAGAGATTTTTAATGAAATTTTAATCATTACACCAAAAATTCATCTTAATGTTTAAGCGTTTAGCTCCAAACCACGATGGGCCAACTAAAGTCTCTCGGTCACTATCGCCTAACTAAGGCCCTGTTGGTGTTTTTTTTGTTGAGTTTTTCTCATAAAATTAACGATGTTTCTTGTAATTCTTATCTATGAATATATTGTATCTTCATACAAAATCAAGACATTAAATACTTTCTATTTAATTCTTATAATTGTATTTATAAGAAATCCATCCTATAATATTCAAAATGAAACAATGAATTGACATCTTCATTTGGCATGTTAGGAGGCCTCATTAATTTAAATATATGGTCAAAGACAAAAAATATTAATCAATAAAAGAATGGGAAAAGAATATAAATGCCTAATCCTCACTAATATTTTATGAATGCATAAATCCAAATAAATATTAAAAAAAAAAATTATCTATAGACGGCAGCATAAATTTTTTAATAATTATAAGGTCAAAAAATGGGTCGTATCAAAGATAGAATTTTGGATCTTCATCGCAGCTTCCAAAGGTTCTTCCATTTGGTAGCAATATTTTCATAATTTAATAACGCTTAATTAATAGATATTTATATGCTTTGTAACGTTGCTATATATTCAACATGTGCACAAACCACATATGTCTTCTAATTTTTCATAATATCTTTTATTATTTATTTAATTGGAAGAAGTGTTTTTTTTTTTTTAATGAATTTTAATAGACTAGCAAGTAGGATTTCTTGAAGTTAGATTAAGGCTTCGTTTGGGACAGCTTTCTCAATGCTTTTTAAAGCAGCTTTGTAGTTAAAAAATTAAAATATTTGTACTAGAAAGCTGCTTTAAGAAGCAGTAAAAAATCCGTCCCAAACGAAGCCTATTGAATACAAAAATTTTAACTTTTGTACTTGAAAGCTATTTTAAGAAGCAGTAAAAAAGCCGTTACAAACGAAGTCGAAGACTTCATTTGGAACGACTTTTTTATTTTTTCTTAAAGCAGCTTTCTAGTATAAATTTTTAAATTTTTTTACTATAAAGCTAAGAAGCATCAAGAAAGCCGTCCCAAACGAATACTAAGGAACGACTTTCTTATTGTTTATTAAAGTATATTTTTAGTATAAATTTTTTTATTTTTAAACAAAGAAACTGTTTTAAGAAGCAATAAAAGATTTTATGATTGCTTCTTAAATCAGTTTTTTAGCACAAAAATTAAATTTATACTATAAAATTATTTTAAAAAACAATAAAAACAAGAATAATTTTTTTGAATACTTATTTCTTAGCTTAGTTGTTTCTTTGGTTTTCAAATAACTTTTACATCATAATTTCATTTGACTTTTTTTCTTTCTTTTTTATTAATAAAAAAATTGGGTGAAAATATACTTTTTGCAAGCAAATAACTAAATTATTTTTCTTAAAACCGCTTCACAATCAACTTTATAAAAAACTATAATCATCCGAAACAAACCCTAAATTATTATAAATTAATTTTTCAGAGAGATTTTCTCATTTTAGTTCTGCTAAATAACCAAAATTGAAAGATTTAAAAAAATTATCCTAACTTTTATTTAATTACCCTATCACTACTACAAAACTAAAAGATTAAGGCTTCGTTTGGGACAAATTTCTTCCTGCTTCTTAAAATAACTTTCTAGTAAAAAAATTAAAAAATTTATATTAAAAAGTTGTTTTAAGAAGCAGTAAAAAAGTCGTCTCAAACGAAGCCTAAGCTAGCGTTAATTAGTGATTAGGGATATATGCAGATGATTATAATGATCAAATTTGCCAGTTTTGTCGACCTCATTTAAGTTTTGATTGGGTAAACTAAAGCTCAAAATATTAATTATATGTTAATTAATTAGCCCAATTTAGCCTAATCAATGCCCGAATCTTAATGAAAATCTTAAGCAGATAATTATTCCATGTACAATTATCCAAACATTTAAATACATTCCACGAAATTTTTAGAATATTAGAACACAAACCATATATATAGTTAGTCTGTTGATCAACTCGATTATTTGTTTCAGTTTATTAATTAAAACTAATCATTAAAAACCGAATAAATTTTCAGGCTCCGTTTGGGACGGTTTTTTTACTGTTTTTTAAAGCAATTTTTTAGTACAAAAATTTAAATTTTTTATACTAAAAGCTGCTTTAAGAAGCAGTAAGAAAGTTGTCACAAACAAAATCCAAGTTTCTTCTTCCTCAACTCATTAGGGAAGTAGAAAAAAAAATACAGAAATTCCCATAAAAATGTGTGGAATAAATGGTGAATTACATCTTGATAGCAGAAATTATTACCAAAACTATTCACAAAAATCATATGCAGCCCTATACTACCAGCTAGATATAGACGCAACCATTAAATTTTTATGGCAGGGCCTTTATATAACCCTCTCCTTATAACAAAGCTATCAGGGGGCTGATACTCTTCCAGCCAAGCTACTTCAGAGTCATCTATTCCATTCAGTAATTCTCCATCAATAATTTCCCCTGAAGAGCCCAACAAAAGGTTTATGATATGAAGAGAGAGAGAGAGAGAGAGAGAGAGAGAGAGAGAGAGAGAGAGGAGAGAGAGGGAGAGAGCTTGCCTGTATCATCTTGACTGAATGATTTCTTGAAATATGAGCAGTGTCTTCCATCTTCTGATGAATAAGGGGGGGTTAGAATGTCAAATAGAGCACAAGGAGTTACTGCTCTGAAAGAATGGAGGTTGCCACCGCTTGAAGGATAGAGTACTGTTGTGCCACAGGGGGCTGACATTTCTGCATCTTTAACAAGTTTGGCTGGTCTTGCTGAGATGAAATTTTCAGTTGAAAATAAGATGTTCTTGTTTGTATGGTAGCAAGGAAAAGTGAATAAATATTTCCACAGCTAATTGTGTATATTCAGAAAGCTACGAGAAGAAATTACCAATAAGATTTATAGAGCTTTAGCCAAACAGATCTGGTGTAATAAGAGCTGTTTTTAATGAATCTTTTAACCAAAGATTTAGCTGAGAAAGGATTCAAATCTAGCCAAAGAAAGCTGATACCCTATCAATATTTGAAAACTATATAAGCCAGTAAACGCGAACAGCGCATCCAGCAACTATGGCCGGATTCAGTGGTGTTGTTAATTTAGCATTACTTGTTATGGAGCCCATCGTAAAAGAAAAACAGATGGTTATTGGTAAACTGAACTGGCCACAAGTGAACTTCAGAGCCTCCTCTTTAGGTGGGTAAACACTTATATGAGATTAGAAGTTTGGGCATCATAGCACACAAAATTTTGTTCAAAGCTACACAAGGACTACGTAAGATCACCCTATAAAACCTGAAAGCACATTTGTCAAGAAAACTCACTAAGTTATTGTTTAGGATAACTTTCTTACTGCTTTTTAAAATAGTTTTTTAGTACAAAATAAGAATAACGGGTGATTCAAAAGCATCATGAAATTCTAGAATGTAAGCCCCTCCAATTTTCACAAAAGAAATATCTTAGAAAACCAAGAAAGCCAACAAGAAGCCCAAAAAATGTTTACATAACACCAAGCAATAACTGCATGAAAATCTAATGCAACGAGGGATTTGAAGTAGTGAAGGCAACAAAATAATGCATTCCATGACCAAAAAAACAAAAAACAAAATCAAGCCTTTGTGCCGCTACGTGGGGTCAGCAACATGAATCCTTCTTCTCTATTGTATCTTGTTAAGAATCAAATTTTCATTTAAAACTACTAAAAATAATAACTTTTAAAATTTTCTACACAAGCCTTTTTATTTCTATGTCTATCTTTCTTAACATAGAACAAATCTAATACATCTACTCTCCTAACTGGGTCATCAGAAGGTCAAAGTTTTATATGTCCAAACTATATAAAGCGACTCACTCTAATTTTATCTGCTAGTGGAGCTACTCCAACCTTTTCATGTGTATACTCATTGTGCATTCTATCTAGAAGAGTCAAGTCACTCATCCACCTAAGCACCATCATCTATGTATTACTTAACTTAATTTTATGCTTCTCTTTTAATGACCAACATTCCAAATCATAAAAAATTACAGGTCTCACCACCATCTCATGAAATTTTCCTTAAATTTGAGGGATACTTTTCAATCACACAACAGGCTCAATGCATTCCTTCACTTCAACCATTCAACTTGAATTCTATTAATGATATCCCCATCTATTTCACCATCATTTTAAATAATAGACCTGAGATATCTAAAATGTCTACTCTTATTAATGATTTGATTGCCCAAAGTCACAATCCCCCAACTATATCTATGTTAGACCGGCCCAGGATGGGCCGGTTGGACCGGTCCAACAAGGACCGGTCCACTGCTACGCGAGACGGACTGGGCAGAAACGGCAGCAAGGGGCGGAACTCCCTGTGGACCCCACGTGGGATTAATTCTGATTTGGGAGGGAGAAATTTGAATGAAGGGGGCTGTTTTAGGAAATCCATTATTGTCCTTTATGATTATTTTTGTTTAATTAGGAGATTTGGGGGAATTAGGGATCATCTGGAATTTGAATGAGAAGTTTGAGATGGCTCTAGAGTTTGCTAGAGACTTGTGGAGAGTTATTCTTCCTCTCGAATCGAAGAACGCTGTATCTTTCTTTGTTTTGCTTTCATTGCTAGTGAAATACAAGTCGTTTCTTGCGTTTTCTCTCAGATTTCCCTGTTTTCCTGCTGTTTTCTCTGCAGTGGACAGCAGTTTGCTGCTGTAAATTTATTGGTTTGGGTTAGAATTACTTGTGAACCAAGTAATTCCTATCAGAATGTAGAAAATTTTGCTTTGTCATGGATGAGATGTGGCTTGAAAATTCTTTTAAGATGTCACATACTTGCTCAACTCAAGAATTGCAATCAGCGGTTCTTAAACATTTGCAATATTTCTTCTGATCTATCTTCGTACTATTTTCATTTTTTTTCTTAGTATCAAATTATTTTTCACCTCACGTCATCATCTATATCCATAAGGACTTCAAAATTAATGAATTATATCAATTACTCGAACACTTCATCTTCTATTATTTCTTCTTACCAATTCTTCATTTTTAGAAGTTTTACGAAGTCTGCTTATGCACATATCAGGATGGTATTGCGTTTAGGGTGACAAAAAAATAATTCAAATGCTTCACAAAAAAAAAGGAGAAATAACTTGCTGAACTTTCCTTACCTCATACAACGTCAAATCACATCCTCCGGTGATATTCCATACAATACCAGTAGCCCTTTCAATGCCCATGTCTAGCAATGGTGAATGAATGGCATTTAACGCAGCATCTCTTGCCCTAGTTTTTCCTAAAACATAGCCTCATCGATTAGATGGAAAAAAAATGATCAGATTGATATCAAATTCAGTAAAAGAGTAGACCTTCGAAAGATATAATGTTAATAAGAGATGCAAAAGATGTTAAAATGCACTATTCAATATTCAGTTGAAGAATTGAAGGAGTTAGTAACAAATTTATAACAAAATTTAGTTTGTTAAACCATGAAAGAAAAGTTATCATAACTCTTCTAAAAGATATCAATAGAACCGGAAAGAAAAGGTTAACCGGAAAAATTAGAGGAGGAATGCATCAGATCATGTATGAACCTACATCGGTGAGAGATTGCTATTAAAAGTGCACCAAAACCAATCAGGGTTTCCTCTCTCGGATTGGTTTCAGCCAATTCAGTTCCAAAAAATATCATTTAAGAGAATTACATTGTTGACGAGTCAAATATTTAATGTGAATTACACTAGCAAGTGCTAAAAAGGATGCATCCAACTGTAATCATTTTGCATATAAAATTTATCAAAGCATTAGATTCAGCAGACAAAATCGTAACTTCTCATAAAAATAGCTATCTGCATTACCCGTTGCTGTTCCAATGCCCATTAAAGATGAACCAGCATTTGCCATTATGGCCCGCACATCAGCAAAATCAACATTAACCAGACCAGGAACCTATAATTAAGGCCAAGAAGTAAATAAATAGAATGATTAAACTCATATTGGTTTAGTAGTCAAAGAAAAGAACAAGCACAACTGTACAGCTGTCATGTTTTCTGTAGTGAAAAAGGAGAGATCTCTGGTCGCGAGGTTGTGGTGTTGATAGACAGTGGAGCGACCCACAATTTCATTTCCACCCAGATTGTAGATGTGTTGGGGATGGAGCTAGTGGATACCGGAGGTTACGGAGTAATGATGGGCACCGGGAAGGTGGAGATGGGTCGAGGTGTCTGTCGAGGAGTAGTATTGAAGATTCAAGGGATCCATGTAAAGAAAGACTTCCTTCCCTTGGAATTGGGGAGTACGGATGTCATCCTTGGGATGAAATGGCTGCAGACATTGGGAGAGACCAAAATCAACTGGGGAACACTGAGGATGGAGTTGGTGGTTGGGGGCAGGAAGAGGACAATTCAGGGTGATTCCAGACTGACCAAGGCAGGGGTTTCTCTCAAATCCCTCATCAGAACCATTCGAGAGGAGGGAGGAGGCTTCTTAGTGGAGTTGCACCGCTTGGAAGGGATCATATTAGAGGAGGAAGGCAATGTTCCCTCTGCAGTACAGCCGCTCATATACCAATTCAGAGAGTTCTTTCAACCGCCCAGGGTTTACCTCCTCAGAGAGAGTTGGAGCATGCCATCACTTTGAAAGAAGGTGAGACTCTGATCAGCGTCCGTCCTTATCGCTACCCCCAGATTCAGAAAGATGAGATTGAAAGGCTGATCCGGGAAATGCTAGAGGCAGAGAATATCAGACCGAGCAACAACCCTTTTTCTAGTCCAGTTCTCCTAATCAAGAAGAAGGACGGGAGTTGGAGATTTTGTGTGGATTACAGGGCCTGAATAGAGGCACTGTACCAGACAAATTCCCAATTCCTGTGATTGATGAGCTGTTAGACGAGCTACATGGTGCAGTGATGTTCTCTAAGCTAGATCTAAAATCTGGATACCACCAGATCAGAATGAAGGAGGCCGATGTTCCAAAGACAGCGTTCAGGACACATGAAGGGCATTATGAATTTCTGGTAATGCCCTTTGGTTTGACTAACGCTCCTGCAACATTTCAATCCTTGATGAATCGGGTATTCAAGCAGCACCTTAGGAAGTTTGTCCTGGTCTTTTTCGATGACATCCTGGTGTACAGCAAGACTGTGGAGGAGCATTGGGAGCATTTGAGAGTGGTATTGGAAGTGCTTCAGGAGCACCAGTTGAAAGCCAACCTAAAGAAGTGCAGCTTTGCTCAGGCAAGTGTGGAATACTTGGGACATGTGGTATCTCAAGGAGTGGCAGCGGATCAAGCTAAAATTAAGGCAATGCAGAAATGGCCGCTACCTAGGAACCCCAGGGAATTGAGGGGTTTTCTAGGATTGACTGGATATTATAGGAAGTTCGTGAAAAGCCTGGCCTTTGACTGAGCAGCTGAAGAAGGACAATTTTTGCTGGGGAGAGGCAGCCACCCAGGCGTTCGAGAGGTTGAAGGAAGCCATGACGACGATCCCTGTTCTAGCTCTTCCAAACTTTGATCAGGCTTTTGTAGTAGAGACAGATGCATCAGGATATGGGCTAGGGGCGGTGTTGATGCAGAATCACAGGCCAGTAGCATACTTCAGCCAAGTGCTTTCAACCAGAGCTAGATTGAAGTCAGTGTATGAAAGAGAGTTGATGGCCATTGTTTTGGCAATCAAAAAATGGCGGCCGTAACTCTTGGGAAGACACTTCATTGTACGGACTGATCAGAGGAGCTTGAAGTATTTGTTAGAGCAGAGGATGGTGACCGAAGAGCACCAGAGTGGTTATCCAAACTATTAGGCTATGATTTTGAGATCCAATATAAGCCTGGTTTAGAGAATAAGGCGGTCGGTGCTTTATCAAGATGCGTTGGGGAGATTCATGAGTTGGTTGTGTCGGCACCATTGATAGTAGACTGGGGGGCCATTAAAGAAGAAAGTATGCTGAACGAGGAGCTGAGGAAGATCAGGGAGGATATGGAGAAGGACAAGAGCAGTCATCCTGGTTACTACATTGAAGGGGGGAGACTATTGTACCAGGGGAGGTTTGTGCCACGAACTTCCATACACATTCCTCACCTGTTGCAGGAATTTCATGGAAGCTCAGTTGGGGGTCACTCAGGAGTTCAGAAGACATACAGGAGGTTGGCAACAGAACTTTATTGGAAGGGGATGCATAAAGACGTGGAGGAGATGGTGGCGGGTTGTGAGGTCTGCCAAAGAAACAAATACATGGCCATGACCCCAGGAGGTTTACTACAACCATTAGCACTTCCAAACAAAGTCTGGGAGGAAGTGTCCATGGATTTCATCGATGGATTACCCAGGTCGGAAGGATTCACGGTGATACTGGTAGTGGTGGACCGGCTTAGCAAATATGCACATTTCATTCCACTCAGACATCCCTACACCGCAGTGACAGTAGCGTCAGCTTTCATCAGGGAAGTGATCAGATTGCACGGAGTACCAGAAGCGATCGTATCAGATAGGGACAAGGTATTCCTCAGCCATTTCTGGAGGGAGTTATTCAGATTGCAGGGAACAGTGCTCAAGAGGAGCACAGCCTACCACCCACAGACGGATGGCCAGACGGAAGTAGTCAACAGAAGCTTGGAGACGTACCTAAGATGCTTTGTTTCAGAGACACCAAAGCTATGGGCAAAATGGCTATCATGGGCTGAGTATTGGTACAACACGTCATTTCACTCGGCGTCACAAATGACTCCATTCAAGGTGTTGTATGGGCGGGATCCCCCACACTTAGTACACTTTGGGAGTAGTAGTACCCCAGTTTCGTCAGTAGAAGAGTACTTGGAGGAAAGGGACCGAGTGCTAGAAGAATTGAAGAGGCATTTGTTGAGGGCGCAGCAAATTATGAAGAAGCAAGCAGATGGGCATAGAAGAGATATCCAGTTTGGGGCAGGGGACAAGGTGTTCTTAAAGCTTCGTCCATATAGGCAGAAGACAGTCGCCAACAGGAGGAATGAAAAGCTGGCTCCAAGGTATTTTGGTCCGTATGAAGTAATGGAAAAGATTGGGACAGTAGCTTATCGTCTGAAACTACCCCCATCGGCGACTATACACCCAGTTTTTCACGTCTCCCAGCTGAGAAGGGTCATTGGTGAGCACATCGCCATTCCAGAGCTACCGCCGACACTTACGGAGGAGTTAGAGGTGATCCTGGAACCTTTGGAGCTGAGGGGTGTTCGCCAGAAAGGAGAGGGAACTAAGGAAGTGTTGATCCAGTGGAAGAACCTTCCTGACTACGAGGCCACATGGGAGCAGAACGTTGTATCTTTCTTTGTTTTGCTTTTATTGCTAGTGAAATACAAGCCGTTTCTTGCATTTTCTCTCAAATTTCCCTGTTTTCCTGCTGTTTTCTCTGCTGTTGACAGCAGTTTGCTGCTGTAAATTTATTGGTTTGGGTTAGAATTACTTGTGAACCAAGTAATTCCTATCAATCTATTAGTACTAAAATAACACTCCATGTATTCGATTTTAGATCTCCTCCAACAAAAACCTTTAGACTCTAAGGTTGACCTTCATAATTCAAATTTTCCTTTAACTCCCTCTCTAGTCTTATCAACAAGGAGAATATCATCAACAAAAAGCATACACTAGGTTACATGCTCTTTTAAATGTCTAATAAGAACATCCAAGACTAAAGCAAAAGAATATGGGCTTAAAGCTGATTATTGTTGTAGTACAACTAAAATAGGAAAATACTTGGTCAAACCACATTGTGTTTGAACACAAGTATAGCTCCTACATACATATCCTTAATGACTTTAATATAAGCATTATTAACTCCTTTCTTTTCTAGAACACTCTAGAGCACTTCTCTTGGCACTTTATCATATGCTTCTATATATCAATAAATATCAAATATAGATCTTCTTTATTCTCTCTATACTTCTCCATCAAACCTTTAAAAACATGTATAGTTTCCATAGTAGACCTACTCAACATGAATCCAAATTGATTTTGAGAAACATTAGTATGTCATGTTGCAACCCATGTTCAATAACTCTCCCATAGTTTTAATGTATGACAAATTAACTTAATTCCTCTATAATTCGCACAATTTTGTGCATCACCTTTATTCTTAAAAAAAATAGGGATTAACACACTACTCCAATAATCTGGCATCTTTTTAGTCTATAAAAACAAAAAAAATGGCAAGAGAAGATGAATATCCAAATCCAGTCCAAAATGAATCATGTATCTCAGAAAAAAAATGTCTATATCAAGCAAAATTTTAGAAACAGAAAACTAGCTACACAAAATCAACTGTTGAATATTATGAAAGACAGAATATAGCTTCTAGAATTCAATCATAAAAAATCTAGAGCATTAAAACAACAAAAACCTAAACCACTCTCACTGAAAAGAAGAATAAAGATACATCTTTAGAAGTTAAGTTAGTTTTTAACAAATAGTATAAAAAACACAAAAAAGCGTCCCAATTTTCTTTGTGCACATTTAAACTGCCAATAAAAATTTCTATAGAGCAAATTAAAACTTCTTCTACTAACAAAAGTTGGTTCTTTAATAATTTTGGATAAATTCGTTTAAAATAAAACATAGAATCATTAAGCAATCGGCCTCTTTAAAAAAAGATAAAATGGTTGTGAAAAAGAAAGCCATCTCTTTATTAAGCCTGTACTAAGATGTTGGGGAAGAAGGAGATAACACAACTTAAGTTCTTTATCTATTAAAAAAACTTAAACAAATTAAGACCAAATAATTTTTTAGCTTAGTTGTCACACCACCTAAACCAAGCAAGAAGTAAAATTTCCACCCAAACATGCATGGAATCATCAAAAGCTATCTCATGCCAGGCCAGCATAAATGTTTATGCATCATAAATTTAAATAGAGATGTGCAAGAGAAGGAACCTTTCGATGGATCGAAGGGTCCACCTATATCAATCCAGTCATAGGATGTCACATGCACAGTGCCATAAAGAAGCTTGCTCAACACAATCATCCCCGGATGGTTATGGAGGGGTATTATAGAAGAAGGCGGCATACAAAATATTCCAATCTGCATAGATATTTGAAAAGGATCATAATGTGGAATAGGCAGAAATATTGTCTTACACACCATCTATATCCTGATATCCACTTAACAGAAGTACAAAAGTCCAGCGCTGGAAAAGTATTTTACAAAGCCAAACCAAATGAAATTAACATATGAATCAAAAGACCTACAGAGAAGCTGTCGCATTCATGGATATGCAAGTATTTTATTGGAGACGAATACTGGTTGCTCCCATTTGAAGAATTTGGGCCTCTCCAATTCCGAACTACCTGAGCTTCTTGTTCTAGGCCGACATTTGTAGGCTTTATCTCATCTGTGATTAATTTGTATCATCATTAAAAACTAAAATGGGGAAATATCATTCAACATGTAGTCACACAAGAAACACTTAAAATCATACGTGATTCACAAGGACGCATAGGCCTAAATCCAAATTTTATAATCACAAATAATCAAGCTTGTGACACATAAATGATTCTCTTACACTACTGGCTATAACCTGCTAAGTGCTAACACATAATTCATTTTCATCCATATCATGAAAACTAAGTAGAGCTTGTTATTCTTTAGGAATATTTAGAAGTTTGTTAAGCGTGTACTAAGATGACGATTTGCTAGTAAATGGAACAGGGTTCAGAACTTCAGCTTACAGGTGAATCATTTAATCAAATCCATCTAGCATGCTCTATTGATCATAAATACAAGTTTATTATATTTGATTGAATAGTGGTCCTAATCAACAAGCAAAATCACTTATTGTACAATCAAATCCATTCAAAAAGTCATGCAAAGTAGAATGAAAAAGAGGAGAGTAGAAAATAGGACATGTTCACTAAATTTTTTTCTCATGTTCTAAAGCCAAAATAAGATAAGTTGCATGTAAGTAGAGAAATAATTGTCTAGGAAAAAAAATATGAAAATCATTTTTTTTTTACTTGATTAGAGTTTGTTAATACTTGTTGAGATCTTGATTATAAGAATGCTTATTATATAAAACTTTTTTTTTACAATCATGGTGATATATATATGTTTTAGTGGAGAGAAAGATTATACCATAATTGTTGTATATGACTCTTATTTGTTGTACAATTTAGTAAGGCAAATGAAACAAATATTAATATACTGCTTATTTGATGGTACAAAAAAGTCTGTGTTCATAAATATTGAAGAAAAAATATCTCTTCTAAATAGATTTTGGGAAATAAATCAATTGTTATAAACTCAACACGAGACGACATAACTTAGTAAGGCTTGCATCAGGTTGGGTCTTGACAGATGAGTCACATGCATCTCTAACCATATTCATATAAGAATCAAATTCAAATATAGCTCCTGATATAAACTCTAAATAAAAGTCTCTCCTTTCAACAGTTTGCCTTAGGCATACCATTATAAATAAATTGGTGTGAATCATTTTTTTGTATGGATGAACTGCATCATCATTGCATGTATAAAAATGGTTATTGTCACATCGACCACATGGGCACTTGATTTTACTTGAAGATATATTCACACTTTTTGGGAATAAGAAATTGATGACTCCTCCATACAATTAACAAAATAATTTGATAAATGATTGGTACTCTTTAAATGACAATACATGCCTACACAATTGTTGGTAATATCTTCTAAATTATGCAAAAATATATCAAAGGTCTAGGTGTGAAAAAAATGATCATTTTCAAATCTTTAGATCTCTACTTAATTTGAAAAAGAATCATTTTTATATTCTTTTCAAATCAAATGATTCTTGTAGATGTTAAAATAGGTTGGACAAAGGGTAGATACACCTACATAGAAGTTCTTTACATTTGAATATTAATGGAGAGTGATCGAAAGTGAAGATACTAAGGTCTTAAACAGATCCAAATATAAGATATTAAACAAGGAGAGGGCGGACAAAGGTTCTATTTTAAAGTTTCTCTCTCCTCACTATAGTGAATATAATGTGTCAAGAAAGGGTGTGACACCAAATATAAGGTAATAACTCAAAATGTAAATAGCTATTATAGGCACATAATAATAGGAAATAAGAATGTCTTTTATTATATCATCAAATTATTTTTAAAAAATTATTTATAAATTATTATAAAAGAATTTACATGAGAAAATACATATCATGGAGAGCCTCACACAACCTCTGCATGAAAAACCAAAAATTCAAATCATAAACTAAAAATTCAAAACACAAACAAACAAATCTAGGCCAAATAAAAATATTCTTAAAGTTGGTCGAATTGAAACATGAGTTAGTGACTAGCCTTGCCATACTAAAAATTCAAAACATAAACGAATAAATCTATGTCAACATAAGAAATACCATCTATGCATGAAAATACCGCATTTACATACGTATATATCAACAAAATACCTTTGAAAAATATTTTCAACAAAAAGCAAAGGGAGGGATGTCGTGAGAGAAGATGAAGGCTAGGGAAAGAATGAAAAGACAAAGTAGGGGTGGAGAATGAATAAATAGATCTTTGTGACCGGCCCGAATATCCTGTCGCAAGTCTTATCGTAAAATATTAATATATCTATAGTGAGTGTCGTGACAAAATGGTCATTTTGAAAAGTGACCATGTCATATATACACATTTATTTGGGCATTCTTATGTCGGATCTTAAAAGGGTTTAAGCGATGAGCAACATTTTCAAGGTGCAACACACAAAGCAAAGCCAAAAAGGGTCTTTTCATAATTTAAATAACAAAACACAAGATAAATTTATGCAATGCGCAAAGCCAAATGGGATCTTTCCATAATTTAAATAATCAAATGCAAGATAAATTTATTCAATGCGAATGTCTGGTAGTTTCCGAATTGAGTTCCATGATATTTTCTTCAATGAACCTCTACAGTGACAGATTGTCCAAAGAGTTTCTACATCTCAAATTCTATGGACTAGTAATTGCAATCATGTTAAAACTTATTTCTAGTAAACTTGTTACGCCGGCTCACAGAGAACCGGCCCAGCCAGTTCTCCACTATAGGAGGCGGAGCAAGCCGCCTCCTTTGGCTGTTCCGCCAATGCTGATGGGGCCCGCCCCATCTAATGATTTTTGAAAAATTGAATAGAGGGGGAGGGGCTTGGGTTTAGGAGGGAAATTGTACTAGGAAGGTTTGGGTATTAAAGTGCATGATGGAATTATGGATGTTTTATGTTTTGGATTAATTGACATTAGGGTTTCTTGGAGGCTTGGGCTTTAGACAATCTTGTCTAGAGATTTGGAAGAGACGATCCTCCTCTCAAATTGAGTATCTCTTGTATCTTGCTATTTTATTCATCTTCTAGTGGAATCCAAGTGTGTTTTGAGTTTTTCCTACAGTTTTCCTCTAAATTCTCCATTGTTTTGGCTGTTTGACTGCTGTGGACAGCAGTTTTCTTGTTGTGGTACTTTATTTTGGTTAGGTTTGCTTGTAAATACAAGTATTTCCTATCAAAACTTTAAATAAAAGTTTACACCAAATAACTGTGATAAGGATAATGATAACAATGATGAAAGTTTATTTCATGGAAACAACCACATCACGAAATCAACCTCAAGAATCTTCATCATTAGTCTTAATCAACTATTTAAGGTAAGTTCAATGAATCCTCAGTTTCCATTTTAAACTAAATTATCTTCAATAATACTATTCCAACCATCATTTTAATATAATCATTCCTAATTCATCCTTTCTATTTTTACAAGACATCCATCTTAACATTATCCCATTTCCATCATGCTCAACTATTAATATTTTTTTAATTCCCAACATACAAATCCATGCAACATAATTGGTTTAATTGTAATTTTAAAAATTTACCTTTAAGTCTCAATTATATTCGTTTATCTTATAATAATCCTGAGGCACTCCAACATTTCAATCACTTATCCTTAACTCTAAAAGTATATTATTGTCTATATTCATATTCTTTTGTATGATAAAGCCAAGTTATTTAAATATAACACACCAATGTATCATTATGCCTTCTAATAAATTGTCTAATAAGTAATAGCACACTTCATAAAATTGCAATATCATATAATTAACTTTAGTTATATTAATTTTAAGTCATTTTATTTTTATTTTCTCCATTATTACAAGTTTTCACATATTTCAACAAATGTCTCGACAAAATGAAATGTCATTTATGAAAAACATAAGTCAAGGCACCTTATTTTGAACATATTTTGTAAGCATCTCCATAACCCATTAAAAAAGATATGGCTTCAATATTGATTATTAATGTAATCATATTATAACTAAAATCTCTTTGGGACTCAACAACTATTGATAATACTAGTCAATGCCCAATTATAAATATCTCCAATAATTTCAAATTATCTTGAATACACATTTAGTCATTAACATGCATTAAATCATTTATTGTGGTATTAAAAAAAATGTCTTCTAAAGATCGAATAAAAAAATCATATAAAGAATTTTTCCTGGGGTCTTTACACTTTTTCATTAATTGTCATTACACGAATCATTGTAGCTTTTCATGGCATGATTACAAACTACTTTTTTAAAATGAGTAACTTTTCTAATCCCATGTTCCATTACACCCTCCCATGACTTCATTGTATGAGTCAAAAGTTTAATTCCTAAATAATTGTCATAATGTTGAGTATTTGTTTTGCTTGCAAATATTACTACCAAAATACTTCTCCAATCACCTGGAATCCTCCAAGTACTCAAAATTCCAATGAAAAGATGTGTTAATCAAACCATTATAATATCCCCCACAACTCTCCAATTCTCATATATATATATATATATATATATATATATATATATATATATATATATAATATATAATATTTAGAAATAGTTCTTAATAAAATATGTATGATACATGTATTCAATTTTTTAATATTATTTTAATTGAGCGCATTTTTGTTGTGTTTGACATATTTTCGGTCGCGCAAGAGAGCGATAGCCGAAGGTTTAGACAACGTCTAGGTTGTGCGAACGAGAGGAGGAGAGGGAGAAGAGCGTAGGAGAGGGTAAATAGAGGGAGAGTTGAACGAGATAGATGATGGAGATATTAGATAGGAACAAAACGCCACGGACCGACATTTCGTTTCGTTTGGGGATGTGATGCTACGAACAGTCAAATTTTAAAGTTTACAGATTTTTTGTAATATTTACTGTATGAAATTAAATTTCTGATATTTAGTGCTAGTTGCATCTCGAATAGAGTTTATGGCATTTTCTCAGAACCATGTTATGCTCACCCATATTATTCCTAAGCTGCTTCGATAAAGCAGTTTACTGTTATTTAGTGATTTACCTAATAGCTGGAATGAATCTCTAATCTATG